GTGGTTTCTACCAGTATAAAATTGTTTCGTGGTTGGAGCATGATTTTCAGGCAAATAACGCCAGGTGTGCCGGGTCTTTCTTAGTGCTTTGGCTAAGCTTGCTTATCGACATAGCAGCTGCATATGGTTGTTGCAGTTATGCAATGGTGGCAAGTGTCTTAGTTGTGTCTGTGTATTTCTTGATGTGCCGTGTGACAAACACATAGTATGTAAAAAAAAATCAAATACATCTAATTCTGCATCTGATGATTGTGTGTGGGTGTTTACGTATACAATTGTAAGTTAGAAATTGTATTTCGTTGCGTAATATTCTCTCATTTAAAATTACTCTACGGCATGTGTTTCAATTTAAAGTAATGGGGTAACTTGTGATAGAATGTTGTCGAGAGGAAATATAAAAATAAAAACCAGTTTGTGCATTGCAGTGCTGACGTACGCAAACTAGCCCTAATGCGTTCATCTACTTACATGGATTTTTTGGATAATACTTATTTTATATCGGACACAAATTAATGCAAATATGGTAAACTAGCCTTTTGCCCGTCCAAGGACGGGAATATTGCAGTAAATCTGAAACTTGCAAGCGAAAAGCAGACCGCGACGTTATATTCATTGCATCAATGCGTGTGCAATTTGTAAGGCCGCGGTGACACAGACCGATTTCATTTTAAGGTTATAATCCCTTGTTCATCATGACGTCCTTTTTACTTTGATGTCTCAACAGCGTTAAAGAGATCACGTGACGTGAGGGTTCTGCCTTTGTAGTGAGGGTTGTGAGTTGACGCCGAGGAGGGGGGAGGAGGCGCCACGCCCCCCCCATGTGGAGTGACGTCAACCGATAATTATTATGAATGGGGGGTGTACATTTGGAGGACGTCACCTGTTCATGATTATTAATGAGGGGGGGAGATGTGGTGCTCCATGTGGAGTGATGTCATCCGCTCATGATTATTAATGAGGGGGGGGTCCATGTGGAGGACGTCACCTGTTTATGATTATCAATGAGAGGGGCTGGCCGACGTGGAGTGACGTCACGCGCGGGAAACACAGACATTCTTAACTCATTATAGTCGTAAATAAGAATGACGGAGAGGCTCAGAGCCAGCTGAGAGGCCAGCTCCATAATATCCTGGTGAGACTCAAGCATCACATTACGGAGACAGATTAGTGGCTATCTTGGTAGCATAGCACGACAGACTAACAAGGAGACAATGGTCCATTCATTTGAATAAACATCTGGGAGATCGATTGGTCAGGAATAAATTATATGTTTGAAAATGATGGACATGTGGGGTGTGAGGGATGTGTATTCACGATGTGTTCGCAGTGTTCGAGGACATCTTGGAGGAAGAGACCTTGGAAGCAAGCACGTGATGAGCTCTGTGTGATGGAAACAGATACCTGGGGAGATATTCAGTGGAGAGGTGGTGGTGGTGGTGAGAGACCTGGGGAGAGAGGACGTGGAGATGTGATGGTTGTGAGAGACCTGGGGAGAGAGCACGTGGAGAGGTGGTGGTTGTGAGAGACCTAGGGAGAGAGCACGTGGAGAGGTGGTGGTGGTGAGAGACCTAGGGAGAGAGCACGTGGAGAGTTGGTGGTGTTCTGCCTCACGGCAGGTATGGGGGTGTGCGTCCACAGGAATTTATTGATATGGTGTTGAGTTTGGTTACGTGACCAGGAAGTTACGATTTAAGATTATCTCTTAAGCCGTGAGGCAGGGTGTCAGCCATTACACAGAGTACAAAATGGAGGCACAAATAGCGTCTCAGTGAAGACTGGTGCATGTGTTCATTGTGGGACTTTAAGAAGCATTTGTCTGTAAGTTCGTTTATGTTCTTATAATACTGTGAATGTTGTTATAATGTTAGGATTGATGTTATAATGCTGTAAATGATTTTATAATGCTGTTAAATTGTCATGATAAATATGAGGCCTAGTTAACAAGGAAGCCTGCCACTTGCATTATTGTGAATGTTACTTGTAATTGGATAAGTCGAGCCAGACTTGTACCCATGTAAATGTAATGCGATCTTGAGAGCAAGGATTAAGAAGTATCTCATCCACAGTTCAGTGTTATGTGCAGCGCTGTACATTTAGGCTGCAGTATGGTGATTACATGATGTGACCTTATTTAACACAGTAGCTTATTCTCTTGTGTAGCTATTCAGTGCTAATGTAGGTGCCTGGTCCATCTAGGACCTATTGTTGAGTTTCATGCTATCTAAGCCAATGTTATGATGCTCCTTGTGTTCATTCATTGTATCGATATTGCAAGTATTAACAAATGTTGTATTTTGTGCTGTGTTTTTCCATCAGTTTTACCTCGTTGAATTAATTGAATACGTCGGAGTCGGATGTTCACCCTGGCTCTGAAAGTTTATTGAATGCGAGGTTAACTACTCAGATAGTGCTGCAACGCAGCGCACAGCGAGGCCGAGACAGGTGGTGGTGAGAGACCTGGGGGAGAGAGCACATGGAGATTGGTGGTGGTGAGAGACCTGGGGAGAGAGCACGTGAAGAGGTGGCGGTTATGAATGTGGAGCTATAGAGGTGGGCGATAGACCTGGGGACATGGGGTTGGACATAGACTGTGATGGGAGTTGAGGCAAGATATTTATCTCACAAGGTTGTAAACCAATGTTAATGTCATTCGCAATATAGTCTAAGTTTCCCTATTGTTGTGGACATTGATTTGTATAGTCTTCTGAGGCTTTAATCGCTGCACGGATGGCAAGTGATTGCACACAGGGAAGATGGTACCAAGGCAACACGTTTAATTCACTCCAATCACTCCGTACAACAGACAAAATGCCAACTTAAATGCAGATGAGTAACGATCCATTTGTTTAAAGTACAGTTTAATTACACGTTAACAGTACGCTCGCAAGGTTAGTTTTAGGTGTATCACAATGCCTTAATTCATCGATTAAAATTTAATTAATAGTTTTTTTATTTGTATGCAGTGTATGAAAGTGCTTTGCACACACTCTGCAGTGATTAGGTCTTCGACACACACCAGAATGCCCTAAATAACCAATTGTTGAACCAAAAGCTATGACCACAAATTGTCACCGATAATTATGGATTATAATCAACGATTTTTGGGTTTAGATCGCGTTTATTTATAAATGTGTCGTAACCCTCCACCACCCGACACGGCCAATCAGTAAAAAATGTGTCACGTTGACAAAGACAAACAGTTCACTGCTTCAGCCCACCGGTGTGTTGAAGCAACAACATTCACAATTTGAGTACGACGTTTCGCTGGTAATTACAACCAGTATCATCGGGCAATTCGCCAGAATGGTGAGGCTCTCCTGTGTCTCCCGTTCTTATATAGAGCAGCAGCAGGATGACGTCATCATTAACTCATTAACTCATCAGGTGCAAAGATTCAAGGGGGGAGTGATTGTAATTATATACTAGATTAGTAATCAGGCTATTGTTACGATGCGAGTTGTAGATTAGTAATCATTTGGAATGTGTTTTATTGTGATTATGCTACATTAGTAATCTGTTAGTGGTTGTTTCCCTTATAAGTAATTGTAATGTATCTTATTTAATAATACGCTTCCAGGCCGCACTAAGCCTGTAGCTGTCTGAGCGATTAAAGTTATTTCTGTTTCTCTCAATTTCAATCGATTCTCTAATTAGTCTTTGCCAGTAGTAACTAGTTTTACACAACACTTCCACGTTGTCAAAATCAATTGAGTGTCCCTGTTGGCATGCATGTTCTGCTACTGCCGACAGTTGTGTTTGTGATAGTTTAATATTTCTCTGGTGTTCTTTAAGTCTTACACTAACGTTACGCCCTGTCTGTCCAATATAGCAGCTGCCACATACACAATTAATCCGATATACACCTTCTGTTGATAATTTAGGTAATTCGTCTTTAGTGCACGTTACTAGTTGTTGAATTTTGTGTACTGTACCAAATCTTACTGTAATGTTTTGCTTTTGCAAAACACGGGCTAATTTATCAGTTACTCCTGAGATAAATGGTATTTTTATTGTTTTAATAATCTGATCGCTTTCAGCAGCGATCAGATTATTAAAACAATAAAAATACCATTTATCTCAGGAGTAACTGATAAATTAGCCCGTGTTTTGCAAAAGCAAAACATTACAGTAAGATTTGGTACAGTACACAAAATTCAACAACTAGTAACGTGCACTAAAGACGAATTACCTAAATTATCAACAGAAGGTGTATATCGGATTAATTGTGTATGTGGCAGCTGCTATATTGGACAGACAGGGCGTAACGTTAGTGTAAGACTTAAAGAACACCAGAGAAATATTAAACTATCACAAACACAACTGTCGGCAGTAGCAGAACATGCATGCCAACAGGGACACTCAATTGATTTTGACAACGTGGAAGTGTTGTGTAAAACTAGTTACTACTGGCAAAGACTAATTAGAGAATCGATTGAAATTGAGAGAAACAGAAATAACTTTAATCGCTCAGACAGCTACAGGCTTAGTGCGGCCTGGAAGCGTATTATTAAATAAGATACATTACAATTACTTATAAGGGAAACAACCACTAACAGATTACTAATGTAGCATAATCACAATAAAACACATTCCAAATGATTACTAATCCACAACTCGCATCGTAACAATAGCCTGATTACTAATCTAGTATATAATTACAATCACTCCCCCCTTGAATCTTTGCACCTGATGAGTTAATGAGTTAATGATGACGTCATCCTGCTGCTGCTCTATATAAGAACGGGAGACACAGGAGAGCCTCACCATTCTGGCGAATTGCCCGATGATGCTGGTTGTAATTACCAGCGAAACGTCGTACTCAAATTGTGAATGTTGTTGCTTCAACACACCGGTGGGCTGAAGCAGTGAACTGTTTGTCTTTGTCAACGTGACACATTTTTTACTGATTGGCCGTGTCGGGTGGTGGAGGGTTACGACACATTTATAAATAAACGCGATCTAAACCCAAAAATCGTTGATTATGAATAACATTGGTCGCGAAAGCCTACGTGTTAATTATGGATTAATTACATGCGCAGTTAATCAAAATGTTTTAGTTGGAGCTCATGCGACAATTTTGTATTCAGGATTGCCAAACATAGAAACCAAACTTGGATTTAAATAAGCAGTAATAATATTGGATATTAAACCCCCAAGCTAAACGCATCATGAGCATATTCAATAATCTGATAAATGGGTTTGTTTGACAATGAAAAATTGCGTATTAAATCTAACACTGATTCAATGAAATGAGTTTCAGGGTTTTATTTACCTTTTTGTCCTCAAGGTATTTTCAAGCTGCATTGTTAGTTAAGATGAATCAACGGCACACTCTTTGTAAAAGGAAATTACCTCATTCCGTAGTTTAAAATTAAATAAGAAAATGTTGTATATGTATAGTGATGCTTTGGTGTTTTGCTTGTATGCGGGTAAAATATGGAAATGTAAAATCAGCGCTGACACCCAATTCTCCACGGTCACGTTTGTACTTTCCAGATAAACTACATCCTTACCAAAACGAACCCTATTCCCCCTGCATTTAAATCAAATGAATGCTGCAGAAATGCGTCATACATATGGAACAATCCAATCATTTACCTAACCCCCATCAACAAATGTATGAGGTATTGAATGTTGGTATCCTGGAAATTAAGCAAAAGGTGCTGTGAATGCAAAATGTCAAATTGCAATTTTACATTTTTACAACAGACATACTGTAGTTTGTTTTTTGTACCACAAAACACAACAAAGTATTTCAACAACAATATTTAGGCTTAGACTAATGTACATGTATAGATTAAAAAACAATATAAACTGATTACAAAAAGGTATAACAAAGTATAAATTAAACATGTTATCTGCACAGATTCGAAGCTTTCGTGACTGTAGGAATTACTATTTGGTTCTTTCGGTAAAGTCACGTAGAAATAAATGAATTATATAACTATTCATTATTTAATTACATTTCTTTCTACGTGACTTTACCGAAAGAACCAAAGAGTGATGTTATCTGCAGTGTGACAGCCATATTTTTTTTTTTGCAAGACAGGAGCTGTAATGCACATGCTTGAAAAACTTTCACCACCGACGCAGGTTTCGAATAACGCCTGCTGTAGATATCTTAAGTTGCGGCTGTTGACAGCAAAAAAACTGTCAAGCGTCGGGCTTTACATTGCTTTTGATGGACGTTACATCAGGGGGTGTCCTTGATCTCAACCTGGCCAGTTAGTTGAATATTTCAAAGCCCTTGTCTCAGCGGGCACGTTGCACATGTCAAATACTGTACAGCCAAATCTTGACTTAAAGCTTTCGTGACTGCAGGAATTCATATTCTTTTGGTCTTTCGGTAAAGCCACGTAGATAGGTTCAAAGAAAATAACAAAAACTATGACGTTTCGATCACAACACAAGCGATCGTCATCAGGATGACGATTGGTTTTGTTGTGATCGAAACGTCGTTTTTTGTTATTTTCTTTGAACCTATCTACGTGACTTCACCGAAAGACCCAAAGAATACTGTACAACCATTTTACAAGTATGAAAGATACATTTTGTCTCAGTTTATCAACATCAATTACCGTTTCATGAAGGCCCTTTTGGATCCGTAAAAGTGACGCTGCCAATTAAAATCGTGAGACATCAATGGCGGCCCGATTCAACTACAAAACATAAAATAGCAATTCGTGGTTGTGTCATGCATTGTTTAGGGAATAAATAACATATATCGTTTTAAATACTATCGTACTTGTAAGCGCATTGCTGAAAAGACACACTGGCCACCTCGGACTTTGTTTGCCGAAATATCAGTTGGTCTGGCCAGGTTATTTGCACATTCATCCACCTGAGCGTTGTTGCGCACTTTGTCAATGTTGTTTGCATTCACTCACCACGGTAACATTGTCGTAACCCAGAGTAAACCGGGAAGACGCTTACACCAAAGCACAACATGACAACAGTCCAACAGCATTATGTAGGAGCACGACAGATGTGTTCTTTGATTCAGCACTGAAATAAACAATTACACGTGCCTATCAATCATGGAACACATTGTATTATTCATACTTGGCGCTTGAGTGCACTTGAGAGAAGAACACTACTCATTAAATACAGATTTTTGTAGTGGTAAACCTCTTGTGGGTTTCAGTGAGATAGCTGAAAACATCTTAACTGAAAATACTGTTAATTTTATACGTAGGTTTTCACGACCAATATTGTGATTCATAATTGGTTTCATAACGTTTAATTGGATTCGACATTTTGACATTTCGCTGGAGATTCGCTGAGATCTCAAGACCTGAGCTCCTGTTAACAAGCTGATGACGCTGGATGTAATCTCCAGCGGAACGTCGCATCCGTTTACATGTGGAAATTACTCTCCGACAATGACACTGGTGGTGCTGCTAAAGCAGTAATACATTTGGCCACGTTCAATTCACGTGGCACTTTTATTGGCTGGCAGTGTCAGGTGGATGAGGGTTTGCGACACATTTTGACACGACCTGACCTAAAAGAAACAAATTATGAATCGTGCTGTTGAGTTGTTAATTTTTAGAGTAATTTTTCTTTACGCTTTTGATACTTTTCACTATTAAGCTTGAGGGAAAATATGCATTTGTAAGCGAACCGTGATGTGGTAAGTGGTGTGCCTCTCACCTGCTTAACTCCATGTAAACCGTGGAAGAGATGACACCCACAGTGATGTTGGCGAGCGGCTTAAACCGTTCTATAAAGTAATACTAAAAATACTGATGAGACTCTATATTTATTATAAGTTATAAGCTGTGATTGTGGAATGCATTTGTAACCTACTTTATTTGTGTTTGCTTCATATCTACGAATACAATGGCCCGAGTCCATTATACAGTACATTATTTGAATTTGATGGGTTGACTCACTTTTACCGACTCTTCTTAAACCTGTAAATTTGTCAAGGTAATGAATAAACTCAACTGCATACGTTGTTTTTTGCTGTTGGTGCTGACCAATAGTTCCTGGAGGAGCTCCCAGCGCTTGCAACAACATGCCAGAAATCAGTCTGGTACAACCCGACAACACATTCGAGACGGACATATACGCAACATATATTTTCAGTCGGTGTCGGGGAATTATTCTTTCTCACATTGCGCAGCCTTCTGAGTTATTTTTTGTACTGTTAATGCATACAAGCATTGGTATGCAGCGGTGTCTGAAGGGCATTCGCGCCATCGTCGAGAGCGCGGCAGTAACCGAAAGAACTGTTGTAGCACGCCGGCTCCATGGCTCACACGAGCTGCATGGCCTCGCGCTCGGCCATCTCTCTCTGACGCTGCAGGCCGAGCTCGGAGAGGTGCTCGGGAGGGTTCTGCCCGTCAGGCCAGCCCACAGAGATGGCCACTTGTGTCTCGGGCAGTCCTCCCACCTTGTTGCTCGGCGCTAGACCCTTTAGTCCTCCCTTCTTTTGCTCACGTTCAGGGGGCTTCTCTTGCTCATAGAGGCTCTGCACCTCCCATATGCGTAGCGTACCATCGTGTGAGCCCGTGAACAGATTTCCGTTTACCACCTGTGGGGTTCAAGCAATTAATTGAATCATCGTTTGTCATTGCAATAAAAAATATGTTTATAGCACCATTCATAATTTAAGGCGTTGTGGTGGTGCAGTGCATGGTGCACTGCACGATGAACCTAACAACTTGTGTTCAATTGCTGCAGACAGTAACTCGCTCTGGCCAACCCTTCTCATTCATTAAAACAGGTTTTTTTGGGTTAGATTCCGTGAATATAAATGTGTCGTTAAACCCGCCATCATCCGACACAGCCAATTAGTAAGGTTTGTCACATAAGCAGAACATGCCAATTCGTTACTAGTACAGCACACCGGTGTGTTGGAGAGTAAATCCACAACTTTTACAATCTGAGTACAACGTTTTGCCAGTAATCACAACCAGAATCATCAGGCAAGAGCCAGATACAAATCTGTAATTAATCTGGCTCTCGCCTGATGGTCTGGCTCTCGCCTGACGATGCTGGTTGTAATTATTGGCAAAACGTTAGACTCAGATTGTAAATGTCGTGGATTTACTTTCCAACACACCGGTGTGCTGTAGTAGTAACGAATTGGCATGATCTGCGTATGTGACAAACCTTACTAATAGGCTGTGTCGAGTGGGGGCGGGTTTTAACGACACATTTATATTTACGCGATCTAACAAAAAAAAACTTGTATTATGGATAATATAGGTCGTGAAGGCCTATGTGTTAAACTGACCTAATTCATCTTGACTTAAAGCTTTTGTGACTGCAGGAATTCATATTTTTGGGTCTTTCGGTAAAGTCACATAGATAGGTTCAAAGAAAATAACAAAAAATAACAAAAAACTACAAGTAAGCAATCGTCATCATGACGATTGCTTGTGACTTTACCGAAAGACCCAAGAATATGACCTTAATTCACTTCACAAACCCGCACTGACCAGCGTGAAGTAATGTCAAACAACCCCTAGTGGATTGACAATAGGCGACAAAAAATATGTAAAAGGGCATGCTCTAATTTGACAAAGCCATGTAAATTAACCATGTCCAGAACGATGGACTCAACTCTTACCTCCAGGCAGTTGATGATCCCCGTGTGGCCTTTAAATGTGCGTTTCAGGGCACCAGACCTTGCATCAAATGCTCGGGCCAATGTATCTCCACTGCCTGTAAACACTGTAAACATGGTAACAAGAGTGCATCTCATTGATACAGCCCATCTTGCACAAGTATACAGTTAAGAGTTTTACATTGTCAAAGTTATTCACCCACTTTCTGTCATTGGCATAAACCCACACTTTTACAAGTAAATGTGTCGCTAGCCACCAAGAAATCTGATGTATTGTCAAAAGATTACGATGATTGTTAATTAAACGTCTGTCAGAGCAATACAATGCCAGCCTTGTGTTAGAGCCCGTCTCACACACTTTGACCACGTGGTTTAAGAATACGAGATCATTGAATGATGAATTAGCCTGTGTGTGCCAAATTGTCATTCACATAATCGTCGGCATTGTCTATCCGCTGCTGGATTAAGGACTCTCCACGCTCTTGCCGTGCCTCATGGTCCAGTGCTGTTACCATCAACGACAACAGCCGACATTCACCACAAAGTGGCGGTGACGTCACAACGGCGCTTGTGCCAGGCCAGGTGCACTTTGAGACCACGTGAAGTATCAAAGGCTCGCTGACAGGAGATCACGGGATAGACCCAAGTGCCATGGGTTGACTGACTCAAATGACTGCAGATGTACCAGCTGTGCACCCTATTCTGCCAACTTTCTGCATTTTAGCCACCCAGCACTCTGCTCCTTGATGTGAGTGCCGCTCCTCTGCCCTCCGTTGTTGATGGAGGACGACTGCCTTGAACTGCCCAGTAGCGTCCTTTACGAGCCTCCTACATAGAGGCCAATCTTGATACCAGTCTTCGGGAAGGCCACTCAGCTCCACATCCTCCTGTACCGCATTAATCCATCTCTTTTTCCAGCTTGTGTCGGGCCCGTTTAGCCCCCTCTATCCGGCCAAACAGAAGCTGCTTGGGCATGCGGTGGCTGTACATGCAGGCTACATGACCCAGCCAGCGCAGCCATCTGTCACTCCTGCACATTAACTGATCTCACCGCTTCTGCGGTGGTCATTCTCTTGTGCGTTTTCTCTCCTTTGGCCGAATTATACAGCGGTTTTCTTAAAATATATATGTACAGTGAATATATGCATCAGAACGATAACCACGTGACCATTTAACAAGCTCTCAACAAGGTTGAAAACGCTCAGATAGGTGGCTCAGTGGTTGAGCGAATAGCTCGCACTCAGTATGATGCGAGTTCAAATCCTGATTGGGATTTGACCCGGCCAATTATCTCTCTGGGGTATATAAAGTAAGTGCCACTTTGTAGGAAAGTCAACAGTGGTTGTCTTATTAATGTACTTTCCCCCACCATAGGAGCTTAGAATTTCCACCACCGACTCAGGGATGTAAGCATTAGATGAGAGAGCACCACCTCAATGTTCATTTAAGCAGGGAATACATTTGACTTGATGAAGGCAGTGAAGTGAACAGAGGACCTGCAGGTTGTTCAAATCGTGCTGGTGGTCACGTGTTTTTTGGGCAGGGAGGCGATGGCTTGGGGATTTGTAGCTGTGCACGTGCTTGTGTTTGAACCAGGGAGGGCTGGTGGTGGGTGGGAGTCTGTCCACAGGGGAGAAGTTCACTCAGCTGTGTGAGCAAGTGCAGGGAAGGAATGCAGTCAAGGTGATGGGGGTGCAGTGGATGGGAGATTTAGAGGCATAGTGTGGTAGAGTACTGACGGTGTGAGAAGGTAGAGTAAGGGTGGGGAGGGGAGCGGGGAAGGGAGCAGCATGTGCATATGAGGCAATCCTCTGTTGCTTTGTAGATTCGCAAATTATATAATGTGGCCCCTTGGATATAGCTACACAAGTATCTGTGTGACGTAATTTTGAATATGGCTATCATATTCTTACAGTTGTTTAACCACCACCAGTTTAGACTGTGACATTTAATTCTAGATGGGCAAAAGTGAAAATGTGATAGTCAAATACATCATTTATTGGAATACAAGTGTAAAACTTTGCAATGACGCACGTTCTAGCTAGATCGTTGATGTCTGTAAGACTATTTGAAAAAAGATATTGAATATTCAGAATCTGTCTCATAAGGGTAAGCTATAACTTTACTTTCTGCAATAAGTACATTTCTAGACATGTTTCTACACGTTCTCTTACTATCATTGTTTGCCTGTGGCACAATTTTCTGAGCAAAGCCATTATCCCTATGTGTTTGTTATGGCCAGTGTTTGACAGATAAGTTACAGCAAGCATTCCTTTTGAAGAAGAAAGTTTGTTTGGGCAAGGCAGGAACTTTGGTGAGGTTTGAATCATGTGAAGCAGGGTTGTATTATTGCGGAAAGTATGGTTGCTGGAAAACTGATGTATTCCCTCCCTTAAGAAATTATTAAATAGAAGCGGCAATGAAGCAAAGCTTCCCCTGGCCGCTGGGTGATTAATCATTACTGGGTGTATGCCCTATGTGCTTCCTGGTGGGCGTAATGCCTCACACGCTCTGCTCAACTTGATAAGAGCACACAAGACTAATGCCCACCTTAAACTAGGAGGCCATGCACTGTGATTACCACTGTGACTTAAAGGACTTCCTATAAATGATGGCCTATTGAGTTTCCTTTAATCTAACTTTTGGTTGGGTTAGCCACAGTTACCATAGGTTAAGCTGGCTAAGGAACTTTACTTTTCCAAGAAAAAAATTCCTGAAAGAGCCAATGTTCTTAAAATACAGTTTCCAGAAGACCTGGTAACAGTCACGTGTAGTCATACACATCAAAGTTGTGTATATGCCTGATGTTGTACAGCAGCGCAGGACTAGTGTCAATTGTGTGAGCTTGGTAGCTCACATAGCAAAGTGGCATTTTTAGTAGTGTATTCACAAACAACCCTTCTCAGAACATGGAAAATGCGTGCGTTGCGAGCTTACAAATGCCATCGTGGCATCTGAGCGTGCTGACGGTGTGCTTGTGTGGCCGGTAGACGCGGGCGCAACCTCCGACCTCTGACAGCCAGCGCCGAGCGGTGCCATCCGAGCTGCCGGAATACAGGTGTCTGTTCGCCAGCTGCCGCCACCCCCAACATACACACACACACACAAAGATGCCTCAGTCAGCCTTAAGACTCTAGAGCAGAGGTCGCAAACGGGTTATGATTCCTTACCCGTACCCGGCCGCACCAGGGTCGCAAACAGGTACCCGTACCCTACCCGATACCCGGCTACCCGTACCCGGCCGGGTATCGGATAGGGTACGGGTATTGGGTACCCGATTGCGACCTCTGGGATGAAGCCATGTTGCAGGCGCGGGTGGGTTGATTCTAGGAACTTGAATTGTGAGAAGAGACAAGACGTTGGGAAATGAGTGACAAACAGTTACTCACCAGTGACTCACGGCCTACCCGTACCCGGCTACCCGTACCCGGCCGGGTATGGGTATCCGGGTATCGGGTAGGGTACGGGTATCGGGTACCCGGTTGCGACCTCTGCTCTATAGCAACAGCAAGTGCTGTTAGTGAGCACTTCTTCAAGCCGGCAAGGCATATGTGGGGATGTTGTGGTATGGTCAAAATCACGTGCATCAGCGTTTGTGGCCGGGTGTGATCCGTTTATCTGTTGTGAATGGTAAAATCGAACTTAGTTCGTTAGGATCTTAGCACATTGTACTAATTATTGTGTCCACAAAGACAAAGATCCCCTGTATAGCCTTTACAGACTGTTAGGGCAAGTGTTGTTAGCGAGCACCTATGAAGGCCAGCATGGCACTCGAGGGGGTAGATTGCCAAGACCACGCCCGGTCGTCTTCGTCTCCCCAGTGGTGATGTTTACACACCGCACCGGGTACTCAATTGAGGCTGAGTCGACCTGGCCCTCAATTCCTGGTAACGAGCACTTATTTTGGGTAGCATTGCCCATGAGGAGGTATTGTGGAATGGTTGCCGATGTCTCCTCAGTGCTGATGTTCACAAACTGCACCAAGTATTCATTTAAAGATGAGTTGACTTAGGTGAGACCCAAGATAATTTCATATACTCTCCAGTATTACTCTCCATTGATGTTAGCCGTGGGCAGGAACCACTCAGGTTGCCAATTTTTTTGCACTGTGCACTAACCACTGCACCACCCATTGCCCAAATACACACATACACTTACATACATACAGAGACGTAGATATGCATGCATGCACGCAGACAGAAAGACCAACGGAGGACATCTTTATTTTGTCTTAGACTTTAGGCATCATTATTGTTTATTCACGTTATAGACTTTTGATTTGGTTTTGCCTGTGGTGCTAAAAAAATTCAATGATTTCCTAATTTCTGCCAAATGGAATAACAAATCCTAAGAATAATATTTTCCATCTGTTACACGTTATTTTGCTTCCCTCACTACCGATATTTGAATTAAATAAAAAACGCATCACAAGTCTAAACACATAACAAACGACATCCTCGGATTGTTCATCCAAGAAGGGGAGAAAGAGAGAGAGAAAAAAAACTCCATAAAAGGCCGTCTCAGAAAAGAACGGTGGTTTTTATTCATTGTTGGCAAACGGAGTTTTGGCTGAATTTCTTTTTTCTGGTGCGGGCTGGGGTGGCGGGGGCGAGGCAAAGTCGCATGCTCAAATAGTCAAAGGCCGTTGTACAGCGCCTGTCTGTCAACGATTCAGCAGGCCGACTGCTGGGGGAGAATTCGTGGTGCCCCCCCACCCACCTCGTCTGCACTATTCACCACGTTTGGGCTGGCCGTGCTAAAAAGAGATTTTTTTTTTTCTTCAAGGCAATGGGTTAAAAAAAGGATTTTTCAAAACTTGTCAGCAGGTATACGCGGATGTGTTGTAGCGTTGGCCGTCTACTTCACATTTCACATTAACAACACAGTAAGACCTCTTTGCCAATAACTTTATAAGGACTGATATGTTGCATAGAATAATAAAACTCCTGCATACCAAATAGGAGATATTGTGTATCTATGACCTGATGTATACAGTAAGTAGCTCTTCAATATGCAACAAGGTAAGCTGTTAAAATGTAAACAAAGGTGGTAGCTGATGGCTGACTTGAAAGGGTGCCTGCAAACCATTGCTCACAGTGAAATAATATGCGTCTGGTTGTTATCTGTTTGTACAGACGTGAGCAGTTAAATGTGCCCCACGTGGAATATATGGTCAGCAGAGGGGCTGTCGGTGTTGATAAGCGCACAGCAATGCATTTATGGCAGCTTACTGATTGCTAAACATTGTCGGTGTCGATGCGATGAGTGAAAACATGGAATGGAAAGCCAAGTGGTGGTTGAAGGCACACAATCACCACTGCTGGTCATATGAATGTTGATAAGTACCATTTCTTCACAAAAAAAAAAAACATTAATGCCTATTCACTCACGCTTCATGCATAAAGTATGCGTATTGCTAACTTGCATTCAAACATATGTCTGTGTAATCGTTTTTTTATATTGTATCACTTACAAAAATATGTTACTGATACTAAACATATCCTGCATTTTTTTTCAATTGTCTAAAATAACATGGATAACCCAATGTGCATTCCTTAGTAACATGACAAGCGCTTTACTCCATTGCATTTCAGTCAAATAGTATTCACACACTGAAGGACCTCATGGTCTCTTAATTACATTTCCACACTACATAATAACACATCCAGAGCCGAACTACTGCAGTCGTAATTAATTTATAAAATACGAGCGTTACTTCCCAGCTTCGCCCAGGGACTTGAATTCACCACGCCCGGTCGCCTTTGTCTCCCCAGTGGCGATGTTCACACACACCAGACCAGTTACTCATTTGAGGCTGAGTCGACCTAGGGGAGTCCCAGGACAGGTTCAGATAATCGTCACCGGTGGTGGCCGTGAGCGGGAATGGAACTCGGGTCGCCGGGCTCGTAGCGCAGCACGCTAACCACTACACTACTACTCCCCCCGCACACACGCGCGTGTCCATAGGTACACATACACGCGCTTGCTGCAGACACACACAACGTTCAGGGTGCGTACGGCAGTAAACGACTGCAACACATTCATCTTCTTGGTTCTTTCGGTAAAGTCACGTAGAAGGGAAGTAATAAAACAATAAAAAATAAAACATAATAAAACAATTCTCACGACGTTTCGGCCACAACGCAAGCAGCCGTCCTCAGGTGAAAACCAGGTCCGTCGAGGCGACAGAGTCTGAATGAAACAGCACACGAGCTTGGAGCATATATATAAGCTGGGCGCATTGACAAAGGAATTTGCATATCAAGAGGAATTTAGCATATTTATGAGAAATGCAGGAATGTGATTAGTACTGCATATGCATGTGCATTATGCAGGATTAACAGCATCAAAGGGAGCTACAGTTGCTGCTGCTGCTGCAGTTGCTGCTGCTGCTGCAGTTGCTGCTGCTGCTGCAGTTGCTGCTGCAATTACTGCTACTGCTGCTGCAGTTGCTGCCTTATCCATTTTAATATAACACTATGTAACACATTTGTATGGCACTTTACCCACGGAGGGTTGGGTGGGGGGGCGTGACGTCAGCAGGCACAATGCGTGACGCTTCCGCACACGGGTCACATGATAGATGTGACGTCACAGTTCACTTGCCGTGCGAAATATATGCATTGTTGCGCCCCCCCCCCCTCCCAAAAATACAAAAGTGTATTTGTATAATGTTTGCATGGTGTACAGTCTGGAAAGTACCCACATGGCAAATTTCAAGTTTGTTGCATGTCGGGAAGTAGCTAAACATTTTGAACAGACACATACATTCACTACTTTGCTTTTTATATATATGGATGAATGCAATTACAAATGTTTACAAGTTTACTTAATGTGTGTTGGAGGGTGCAGTGTGTGGCGATTTATGCTGTACAACTTTCTCCCAGCAGCTGCATTTCAGCACGCACCAGAAACTAAACATGCCACAAAATAGCCACAGCTTGAGAATAGAAAGGGCACTTTTGAGGGCGCGCTGGGTAATGGGCCAGAGTTCCACTCGGTGCCACTTAATTACCACTCTGCTCCCTCCCACTGCCTGAAGAATGAGTGGCCCAAAACCATCGCTATGGTAACAAGTGATGCCTTGCGGATGGGATTAAAGGACTAAGCCAAATCTGCCTCCAGATCTTGAGCAGAGTGGGTCCATGTTGGGGGGTAAAGAGGGTGGGAACATGCAGAGAGAAATGAAGATGAAAATAATGGAAAAGGCTGCAATAACAAACAGGTATTACGTAAGCTCTCCTAGGCCAACGTGGCCAGGCTCATAAAGAATACACTAATCTGCTTAAGACTGGATTCTTACATCTCACGGTGTGCCTAAATGAGCAATAGCAGGTCCTGCCTCTCAACTTTATTGACATGAAAAACAAACGATCGTGTTTGCTTTCGTAACCATGCTACACATGTACATGCACTGCTCAGCAATAGTCTATTATCATAATGTTAGGAAACAACTCCCTGAAATCGAGAAGCCCACTAATTTAGGTAGTACTTTGTGCAGGGCTGTTGTGTTTATAAAACAGTAAAACACTGCATATAATTCACTATACTATGCATGTATCTATTTGCTGCTGGAGCAATATATAATCAGTTGTTTGTGACTTTGACTGGAATAAGTTATGAACTATCATTCACTTCCAGCAGAATTTATTACAGGCATTCAGCTCCTTGTCTTCGCCACTGTATTTGCTTGCTGTCAACTGCAAAAAAGTTGTCGTCCATCGTGGGTACAGAATGAAATATTTTCAGCTGTATGGTATGAATTATATTTTCTGCAATCGTTTTATTTATTGAGGCCTTCGTTGAAAAATTACATTTTCCATCAGACCCTCAATTTTGTCATAAATACAACAATATATTTTTTCTTTGTGATGTATGTTTTGGAAACGTTAATATACGTGGCATGCTGGAGGGCATTCAGGGCATATGTCACTTATCTTTCATGAGTTTTCATTCAGGGTTATTGCTGGGACACATTTAAATTGTTAGGACACATTTTTCAAGAATTACTGGTCTCAAATTCTTACAAAAACCAGCCGGGTGGCATAGCACGCCTGGCTGCACACGGGGCAGGTGTGACTTACCCCAGCAATGGCAATACTTGCCTCTGAGACCGTGTCACCACGGATTGTCATTGCAGCCCACGGTTTGAACAATACATTTTCATATTCACAATAAACAAAGCTCTAGTTTCCTCGGCCAGCGGTCACAGTCAATCCCCATAGTAGATCATGGTAATAGTTTGTGGTGGGCAGTGTTTCACATGCTGTGTATTGTATCGGATACACTTTTAAAATGAGGTTTCATCTTGCGGCCAGTCTCATACACGTGAAAATTTCTCTGAAATCACACTGATTTAGAAAGGAAAATAATACTTTCTGTAATATATGTTTATGCCTCGCATTTGTTCATGAAATTTCTAGGCATTGTATATTGCCATCATGGGCGGAGTTTGCGGGGGAGAGGGGCAAGGGGGGACAACGCGCATCCCAAACTAGGCACCTTTATTAATTTATTTCCAGTCGTTTACTATAAAGCTTAAAAATAAAGTAATTGTATGAGATTCCTAATGTTAGAGACAAAGGGAAACCCTGCGCCTCCTAATATAGAAGTCAAAGTCCACCTATGATTGCCATATTATAAAAAATTATCCTCAGGTTTCGTACGTAAATTAAATATTTATAAATGGGTGACGAAAGAGATCAACACACACACATCCTCTGTTCTAGATACAAACACACGTAACTATAACAAATTATAAAATAGCTTAGCAGGTGAGGTCAAGTGGGATTTAAAAGAATCAGTGATAATGCATTTAGGAAGACCTTTAGTCAAACAATGGGACAGTCAGACCCATGAGCAGGTAATGGAAAGATTGTTCCAGAGGGAGTGGCAGAAATGGACTGACCCCCCCCCCCCCCCCCACTTTGTGGAGTAAGTGGATATTTATGCGAGGTGGATAGAGGAGGCAGTACTTCTGGAACCAATTATAGTGTGCAAAGTGCGTTTTGTAGTGTGTCGGAGGGGGTGCCTATTGACTGAAGGGTCGTTCCGTCTTATACTCCGAGTTACATCGCAACGTTAGTACAGACCAGCTGAGGGTTTATTTACTAAAAGACACAACTTCTCTAACTTCTGGACAAATGTTTTACACCTGTACGCATTTAGTTAGGAAAAATTTGGACTGGTTTAAACATTCTGAGTCTCATCAGCAGTCATGCCTATAAAACAAATGCTGCCGTGTTGCCAGATGTTACTTGAAAGAGCCATACGCTTAAGACACAAGCATACGCTCCACGTTCTTATATGGCAGTTCGTAATGAGCTACGATTATGCAAAATAGCTCTCGAGCTAGCACTCCTCTGTAGCTGTATGACCAGGTGAGGGTGCACTCACCTGTAGGTATATGACCAAATTAATAGCCCATGACCAAATTAATAGCCCACGATTATAGGATTGTGACCAGGTCATGATAACATCACTTGTATACAGATGTTTATGTATTGAAGACCTGGTGATATTGCGTTGACAGTGATGCATAAACACAAACAACAAAAACTAAACACATAGCTCTGGAGACGCTCCATTGAGTGAAACATTGCCTATTATATATTGTGATGTTCCTTTTAAAGCAGAGTCATTAAGGAATGTGTTCAGTCATTTTTCACCTCTTGGTATGTTACCAGGTGTGATACATTTTCTCTTGCAGGCTCATTTGTGGACAAAGTGAGAGGTTGAGACGCTATCACCTACAGACACGTGACCAGGCTGAGAAGTCCACAGGCATGTGCAGCGTAGGTGTAAAAGCCCTGGCCTGCAATACACCATGTGGCCATATTTAGAAGCCCTCACCTCTCACCATAACACCATGTGTAGAAGCCCTCAACTGAAACAACATGACCACGTAGAGCATCTCACACCTACAGACCCTACGACCGCGTCTGCATGCGTCACCTGTAACGATGAGACCACGTCCTAAAGTCTTCACCGGTAAACCACGTGGCCTTGCCTCGAGGCGTTCCCCTGTAGCCTTGAGACCATGCTCAGAAGCCCTCACCTGCAGGCATATGACCAGGTCGGTGTGCTCCGTGTAGGAGCGCAGCTGCTGCCCACTGCGCAGGTCCCACTTGCGCACCGTCCCGTCCGCCCCGCCCGAGTAGAGGGCGCCGTTCGAGGCGTCCACGGCCAGGCACAGGACGGGGCCCTGGTGTCCCCTCAAGGTGCGCGCACAGGCGCCGCTCGACAGCCGCCACAGGCGCACGGTGCCGTCCACGCTCCCCGACATCAGCAGCAGCGTGGTGTTCTCCTCCAGGGCGGCGAGAGCCGCCGACGAGCACCTCCTCTCCCCCTTTGGGTCCGATGAAGATGACGACGACGACGACGACGACGCTGACGATGGTGCTATTGTTGATGGTGGTGATGATGACGATGGTGGCGGTGACGACGATGGTGTGGGTTTCGAGGACGCGATGTTGGTGTCCCCGGGATCAGCTCTGCGCACCTCCAGGATGAACGTGGAGCTTCTGGACTTGGGCGAGGAGCGCGCAGCCGCGTCCGCGCGCACCTGCCGCTCTGTTCCCCCAGATTTCCTCGATCCTTCAGAGCCTCCTGACGCTCCTCGCCCATGCCCTTCGCGCTGTTGCTGCTGCTGCTGCCCCGTAGGGCAGTACAAGGCCAGGGGCAGCACGCAGCTCCTGTGGCCGGCAAAGACGCGTAGCGCGTCCCCGGTGCGCGCGTCCCAGCAGCGCGCCGTCTTGTCGTACGAGCTGCTGAAGAGCCACCCGGCGTACGGCACGACCCTGTTCACGACGCCCGCGTGGCCCCGGTACACCTGCAGGCAGCGGCCGCTCTGCACGTCCCAGCAGCGCGCCGTGCGGTCCGCGGAGCACGTGAACGCGCGGACGCCGTCGGCGGCGAGCGCGCAGTGCGTGATGTACCCCTCGTGGCCTCGCAGCGTGGCCCGGCGACCCTGACCCTGCGGGGCCTCCGCGTCCCACAGGGCCGCCGAGCCGTCCTCGCCGCCGGTGAGCAGCAGCGCGCCGTCCTCGCCGGCGCTCATGCAGTTCACGCCGCCCGTGTGCGCGACGCTCGTACGCACCAGGTGCTGCGGCGGCGCCTTGGAGCTGCTGCCGGTGCCCATGGTCGGCTCGCCCTTCGCTTCCCGAGTTGCTGGTGTCCTGCGCGGCGGCGGGGAACTCCCCCCAACCCACCCACCCACCCACACCCACCTCCTCCTCCTACTCCCCACAGGCTCACGGAGCTCGCTGGATATGGAGGAGGATGAGGTGATGGAGCAGGAGGAGGATCGGGCATGTGCCGGCTTCTTGGCTGTGGCTGTCGCGCATGGCCGCACCGCACGCGTCGTTGCGCATCGAGTGAAAGGGTGGCGGGTGCGCGGCGTGACGCGTGCGGGGTTAATGCGCTGTCGGTCAGGTGACGCAGATAACAGGTTAATCGGCAGCACTGGCTTCTTCTCTGCGACTCCTGTGTGTGTGTGATTAAGTGTAGAGGTATCATCACCACTGCACGCTGTCAGCCAGGGAATAGGGGTCTGTGGGGGGGGGGGAGGTCGATGTCCCCCACGCTCAGCGTCGCTGCGCCGCGCACGTGCTCTCTCGGGATCCAAGCTGCTGCTCGCCGCGTTTGGCTCCGAGCGATGAGCAAACACAGGGAGGGCTTAGCAGCAGCAGAAGAAGAAGTCTGCAAGGAAGTGGAGTCGTAAACGATTGCCATGGGAAGCGCGCGTTCACCCTGAACGCAAGTTTCGTGTTGGGTTCACGGGGGAGCGGTTGCGTAGCGGTCAGCGCTGCGTTGCGAACCTGGCACGCCGAGTTCGATTCCTACTTCACGGCCAACGCCGGTGACGATGATCTAAACCGGCCCTAGACTTCCACTAGGTCGACTCGGCCTCAAACGAGTACCTGGTGCGATGTGTAAAGATCGCCACGAGCGAGACAAAGGTGGCCGGGCGTGGTGTTGGCCACCCATCCCCTCGTGTGCCGTGCTGGCCTTGGGTTCAAGTTACCACCGAGACAGACGTCCGCGGAAGTTCGCATGTGTTTGTTTATCGTCACTCGATCTCCACTCATTAACAATGTTCGCGAGTTCCGTCCTTGAAGTCGTATCAAAGGGGCATTTGTGCACGCGTAGCTGCCGAAGCAGAGGGTCAATTGGCACATTTGCCCGCGTGACAACTTTATTTTTACTTGGCTTTGTCGGTGGCTGGAGGACTACGGATCAAATTGCCATTGCACTTACACGATCTCGCCCGAAGGAAACCGATTATGAATAAAGTAGCTGCTGTACAGCAATAACATTTACTTGTTATTACTAAGTAATGCTTAGAATGCGGTTATACAGGTTCCCCTCGCTTTATGCGGGTTCGGTTTGTGCGATTTCGCGTAGATGCGGCTAAACCGATTTCTTCCCGAAATTCTCTATACGGTATGCGGTTTCAATTCACTCATATACGGCTATGAGGTCTGATGTACGACAACATTGTGTGTGTACTGTATTGCACCACTCGAAGGCAGCTGTCTCGTGTGGTTTCGCTTTGTGAACACATCCACCGCACAAAGAGAGAGGGGAAATCTGGACTGGGCAGTTCACGGAGTCCGCTCCTATTTTTGAGAGACTTAATAACATTATTTCTCGTTCATCCGATGACAACTGATTTAAATAAAAATGTTCTGATAATTTCGACACGGAAGTTCCGCGGTTGAGTCGAGCGACGCACAATTGGAAGGTTGGGAGATCAAATCCTGGTTAGGGGTTGATTCAGCACGTGGACCCTCTGAATTCGATGCATTAATTCCAAAATTGTACAATGAAGGGCCAATGCCAGACAGATCGCCGGTTCTAGACTTACCTTTTAAGGCAATGCGATGCATTTTTTAAAATCTAGATTGAAAACTAATTTCTTTCAAAGTGATTTTTGTGTTTCGTATGTTGTCCTCCCCCCCACACCTAACATTTTAAAGGTTGGTTATGTACGGCGCGAAAGAAGTTCAACATACATATATACATTGACAAATGTATTGATTTTTTTTTATTCATGCTAGAGCACACTGCTAACGCATCATCAAATAAATAGTGTATCTTTGTTGGCAAGTCAAAAGTGGTTGTCCTATTATTATACATCCACCAGAGAAACGTGGAATTTCCACCACCGGCTCACGGCAGTAAATAGGAAATGAACACTGCATGAATGCTCATTGGGCCAGAATAAAAAAATTCAGAATGGTTTGAAAAGTTTTTGGAATTTATTTTAATATATTTCGGTACATACTCCAATAGGCCGTCTTGTAAACCTTGTATTCTTTTATTGATACTCCAAGATGCGTCATTGAGTCACGTGCGAATATTTAAAAAACACAATAACTGATATTCTTGGTTCTTTCGGTAAAGTCACGTAGAAGGGAAATGATAAAACACATTGGTATCAGTTGCTGGTGTATTCATTTATAAGTTTTATAACTGCGAATTAATCTTCAATTTCTAACTGTCTCGCTAGCAAAATAGTAGACGTGTAGTCCTTCTGGGCCCTTGCAGACATTCAACATGCCTTCATATACTCCCGTGAATAAGATCAACATACATGTGCCGGGCGAGTACGTGAGGTTAGGGTGCCCTATATTTGCATCAATATAAAATGTACCATGTTTACAGCTTGTGGCAATGTTATTTAAAGGTGTCGTACAAATAACCAATAAGCACACAACTAAATTGGAACTGCCTGATACGCGACGTCTCTAAGCAGCGAGGAGACGCAGCTGCACGAGTCAGCGTTGTCTTGCATGCTGTTGAATGGCTGCGTTTTGGGAGGGCAAGATGTAGTTTTTACTTATAAAAATTAACCCGTAAAAACAAAGTTTTTCACTATAAATCCTTTATATGCGTGGCATCGGTTTTATTTTATTATTCATTTCTGTTTTTCTTGAGTAAGAGTTTCATTTTTATCACATTGGTATTTTAAATAAAATATGAAATATTTTTTTTCCTAAAAATCGTAAAATTTTCGGGGGAAAATTTCACGAAAATAAATTGTCACGCACAACGAGTCTGTGTGCAAAATGTCAGCTCGATTGGATCACGGGAAGTGGGTTAAAAAAGGACCGAAAGATTTGCACGGTCGTAAGCGTGCAAGCAAGCAAGCAATTTAACTTAATATAAAGGATTTTAAAAAATATGTGCGGGTTGCCCAAAAACTCCGTTATATACGTGGCATGTAATCTCGAAGACAATATAATAGGACGTCTTGACAAAGCTATTACATTTGTATAGATGCAATAATAATGGCTTGTTACATACTCACACCACTGTTTGATGGATAGACTTGTCTTTCGGAAATTATATGCCTCACACTGACTATACACCCACAACCTAAGAACCAACAAACCAAGGATCGATACCACCCCAGGACTGAGCTGGATTCCTGATAGGCTTTGGCAGTACTATGTTCGCAAATTCTAGATTGCAAAAATAAGTGAGAGTGAGGATTTAGGGACTAAAACGCAAAATAAATGAAACATAAATAAACACCCTTTTGAAATCGTGAACCTTTTTCTTTAATGAGTCGTGTGATGTAAACACGCTAGGAACAATGCGACCTTGCCAATGCACACCTTAGCAGCTGGCTTGAAAGCGCTCCCTAGCAATAAATAACACATTTTTGTACCTCTCCCAAGCACTGCGCTTTCAAACGTTAAATACAGTATTATGGGAAATTCACTTATACAATGTCACTTAAACCTATGAGAACATAATAAATAAATCCCCCTTTTTTTCAAAATCATAGCGCATATCAGCTTCAGACTATAGAAAATGTTATAACATATAAAATGTACAGTTTACACAAGAGATCGTTGCTCTGTCTACAGGGATGCTATCGCCCAATCAAATGTGGTCACACCTTGTCCATGCGGACCATGATAAGACGTTTCCAGATTTCACGTCTGAGTTTCCAAGTGCAGTCTTTGCATCGCATTCTGTGAAGCTTCAAGTCCCATGAGCAGTGTGCAATCGTGAATGTTTTGCAGACGTTGTTTTCCCACTTGCCTACAGTGGAATTTGCTGTCTTGCACCCATCTGCAAGAAATAATATATAATTAATATAAATATATAAATATAAATAATCTAACCGAAACATCCTTAAGTTCATGGCCCTTAGGTATTACAAAAAAAATGTATGCAGTCAATTACACATTGCAGTATATATGGAAAAGGGGAATCGCAATAGCCAGATGGCATTTAATATTATCAAAGTACAGTAATCATTAGCCAGTACACCTTTATATAATGTACAGTATTAAAGCAATTGAACACAATTTCTCTCATTTACGTTTTGCATATTTATTTGTGTTGATTTGCTTTGGCTTTCACCTCCTGTCACATGCAAGGTATTGACTAAATAAATGATAAATCATCCATTGGGTATTGAATTCGATCAGTAAGCCTCCCCACATGATTGCTGTCCCTTGTGGTCCTACTTGGGAATAACAGTATCTATGAATAACGACTAATTATCATGACTGATTTTAAAACATGACAGAGAGCGAGATATGTGTTGTTTCAGTGGACTCTCTCCTGAATAAAAATAATAATTGTTGATTGATTGCAAATAAAGACACCTGGAGCTGTCACCTGGCTATGAGAGTTGTAGCTGAAGTGGCTCTGGCTGAGATTAGCTGTTCAGGGCATCCACGCCGGCCGGAGTGAGGATGAGGGCCTGCAGGATGTCCGAGAGCGAGAGGATGCCCACCACCCGGTCATTCTCATCCACGACCACCACCCTGTGTACCTGCAGAGCAAAGAATATGTGGATCGTGGTCACTGGATAATCACTGGCCCAGACTGAAGGAGATAGTGGTGTGTGCTCATGACCTGTTTATCACCAACAGGAATTGTTTGTCACCCAGAACAACATAGGCCACCCTATGCTGTGCCACTCTAGGTGGGTATTTTACCATGTGTGCCATGCTGGTCATTGCAGGTTGGTGACAGAGCCCGGAGGACCAATTCAGATATCACTGACCACAGGTGTTCGTCATGGGTTGAAACTGAGCTCAGGCTGCCTGGTTCATAGCACAGTGAGATAGCCATTGAGCCACTGCTTCACCAGGAGTTATGATAGAGTTCTATTTACTCTTTGGTTATTTCGGTAAAGTCACGTAGAAATAAAATAAATAATAGAAATAGTTATCTGTATTTTAGAGTTCTCTTTATTTATCCAGGGAAGCTACACGAAGTCTTAGGACTGATTTTTTTTTTTATTGGGGTGCTGCAATGGCCATTTTCAAGGAGTGTTTTGCATGTGGGGGGGAATTATTCAACTCAAGACGTTTTTTTTGCATTAAAGAAATACCAAAGTTGTAAAATATTCATGTTAATTTAAAGGTTCAAAGATAAATAATAACTATGATCACATGCCCTAAATGCAATGCAACTGCGCTTCGTGGGAGTACATTTCAAAATAAATAATGTATCTAAATTTACATTTACCCACTTGGAGGTATTTGTGTGTTTAAATATTAATACATTATACATATCTAGACTTCAATGGTGACCCATAGGTATAATTATAATCGTGATAATCTTAACAAATGCATGGGGCTTCAATGCCTTAGCAGCTCAAAGCACTTTAAATCGCGTAATCTGCAACATTCGAAGGCCACTTCACCACTGGCCTGCAAGGGGGGCACGAGTCTGCCAGTAAGATGTAATAATTGCGATGTTTAATCTCAATTGGTCTATTTTCAGGTAATTATCCGAATTTGGCAAACTCGGTACAAGACGCTGACACATAATGGGCTACTCATACATAATTTCTTTTTTGGGAGCGTTATCGTTCACTGTGAAGTGCGTAATTATGGTCAATACACCCGCATACATAACCACTGGCCTTCCGGATTCACGCTGTGAGATTCTCCAACAAGCGGTGGTCGAGGTAATGCTGGGTCATGCAATGCAATGCAGTATTGGTTGCCTCTAGTGGTAAACACGTGTAATTGCATTCATTGTTGTATTGAAAATGTAGTATTCTTTTGAAACGTGACGCAAATGTCGTCTTAATTTTATTACTACATCATTAATTACGTAATTGTTTTACAGTGAATAGTAGAGAATTATGTAATATTGGCCGGACACTTGTTGGGTTTTTAATTGCTGGTGGCAAAAACACTGCATGCTTGAAAATTTGAATAAAGAAGAGTATAAAAATATACATTACTGTAAATGTAGTTTGATTTATAGCTAATTGCAACATTGTGGAGCTCCAAGGCTTAATGCTGATGTCTGCGTAATCATGAGTGCTGTATGTGTGGTATGAGTTCCAATCTGAGCCTGTCAACTTACGCTGCACATGTGCCATAGGCCAGTGGCTACCAACGTGGGGTCCACAATCCAGTGGTGGTCCACAAGACTATAGGAAATGGTCGATGGACATTTAGCAGACCCTCTAATCTGTTTTCTTTCTCAAGGATGGACCATTTACTATGGATGGCCATCTTACAGCGAATGGGCACATGACTACAGGTGGTCCATAAGCTATGATTGGCCCATGTGCCAAGACTGGGCCATGGGTTATGAGTTGCCTGCGTCCAATGGGTAGCCTACATGACATAGGTGGACGACGTGATATGGGAGGCCCATGTGCTACACGTGGCCCATTGTGCCCTGAACGTCCATTTTGATATGGGTGGCCCACGTGACGTGGGCGGAACCACGTGATCTGGTGGGCGGGGCTTGCCTCGGCATGCACGAGGCGACCGACAATGGTCTCCAGGGATTCCTGTCGGTGGCACTTGACGACGCCCTCGAAGTACTGCGAGCGGTGGTGCAGCGCCTGCGTCACCGTCATGTCCAGGTTGTTGTAGTTCTTCTCTGCCGCCAGGTTCTGCGTCGTATGTGTAGGCGTTAATGATGGATTATACCAGGGACATGGCCGTAATTTTTATTTATTCAATCGCTTATATTTTTTATACAAATGTGTGTAAACGGACCCGACATGCTTTATGCCGCTGAGTGTTCCGAGGTCAAATGTTTGCATGTGTTACGCATCTAAACTACACTGCATTCAACACCATTGAATGGAATACTGTAGGAAAAAAATATTCATTAAAATTGAAATATTGGTATATTAATGTTGATTTATTCATGATCATCACAGCCAAGAATGACTAATCAATTAAATTGCAGGGGTGCATTCCAATTTGTTTTATCTTAACTCTGTGTGCTCTACATAAATCGTTCAGAATGGTCCACCATGCTTTCTATGGATTATTTACAAACATAAATTATTCTTTGTGTTGAAATATGAATAACATATACATATACTTACTATTACATCAAATTTAGAATAAACATCCACCACTCTCCCTAGAGCAGAAAAGGCATTTAAATTGTCAATACTTTTATAAACATTGCTTTAAAATACCAACCACTCATGAAAATTACAAAAAATTGGCATATAAATAATGTATTAGCTGAATACATTCTCAATTTCTTAGCATAACAGATACATTATATCAAAAAGCAAACATTACAAACATTACACAGTGCATGCAAATAAAAAACAAGCCCGTTTGACAATGACGTTATATAAATTCAGCCACACTGATAAAGTCCAACGGGCGTGAAATGTGTTCCGCCTTTCAAAATGCACCTATAGAACATACATGCCACTCTATTAGATGATTATATGGCTTTCGATGGGGGGGCAGGGAGTGCACGAGGGGGGGGGGGACGCGGTGTGTAACGAGAAATGCTTATCACGTAACAGATGGAGATTGCGCGTTGGGTGACGGAGGACGATGACATACCAGATCGGTCCACGACAGACAGGGCCGAGACCCTCCTTTCCACGAACAGGTTGAGGGCCGTGATGATCGGCGTGTCCGTGTAGATGAATGCGATGTCATTAAACGTCCCCACTCTCAGCTCTCCCAGCGGCCTGCACATGAAGCGGGGCTTCGGCAGCTCGGAAATCTGTGTCGTCAATGGTCAACTGTTAATGTCACACGATGCAAAATACGGTCACCGCAATGTGCATCCACTTTATTTACTCATTTTACAAAAAAAATGTATGTTCATACAAGTGGGTGGAAACTGGAGCACCTCGAGAAAAGCCATGTGAGTGAGCGGGGCAACACTTTATCAATCATAATACTGTACTGTATTGGCTACGAAAACGTATGTGTTAAGTTAACATTAGTCTCTATTGGATGATTAATGCCCTATGACAGTGTTTAATGTGCTTATGTTGGTACAAGGCGTAACTGATTTAGACAATTTTAAAACCCCAATCTCTGGAACACACCAGTGTAACTGTGGCCTGATTACATTGTTTATAGGTGCTTAATATTAATGTCTCTTCTGACAATTCCTAATATCCAAGGAATGTGTAATCCTGCTATGGGGGACATTATCAGCTTGGTGTTGGTGAAAAATGGAAGCAAATGTTTGGTCTATTTGCTAATCATGCATAACCTACAACTCACGTGGGTTTATCTTAACTGCATTACAACATTCACAATTCATTGCATGTATGTTGGCTTCTGCAAATAGACATAGCAATTATTTGGGTGCAATATTTACTCACATTATACACATCATACAAGGTAACGGTGAAGTTTGAGTGAAAAAAATGCACTGGGAATTTAACGATGCATCAATTAACTCATTCAAATTGTAAGACAATTCATTAAGGATTTGTGCAAAACAATTTATATCGGTGTGAGCAACATTATACACACGAGACAGAATAAACAAAACACTAGCAATAACACGGTGAAAATATGGCAAAAAAAACCCTACTAATATCGAATTGAATCGCGACATTTAAATCGTGAACATTTCCTTAAACATCCTACGTGGGAATGGAATGGAAAAGATTGAATCCCTACATGCCCCAATACGCTGTTGGTTTTATTTAAATGATGGCAAATGCCAATTTAGTGGAAAGCTGTACCGGACTCATGATTCACTGTCCCACGGCGCAAGGCAGGACTCACAAAGAGGTGCAGGAAGCGGAGGATACGCTTGTGCGTGAGGATGTAGAGGACGTTTCCAGAGACAGGGTCGATGATGGGCAACCGGTGAATCTTGTTTTTAATGAGGGAGTACACGGCATCAAAAAGGCTGTGGCATACGAGACAGATTCGGGAAACACAAGCGATTCATCAGACAGAAACTCCATGGTTCAGACAGATAGAATTCATTTGTTTTATCAGTGGCGATATTGTATACACTCGAAAATTGTTTAATACTCTTTCATCTTGTATATCTGTGCACAAGAACGTATTACACACTTCACGTGACATCACTATATTTGTTTAGCCTTTGCTCAATTCACTTTGAAACAATATAATCATTTGGAATCGTCACATTTAACATACCATGCAGTACAGTGCTCTATTAACTTGTCAGCAATCATGACGAAATGATTTCCTTAAATTGTCACTTTTTGTGAATTGTTTGGTTCACTGGATACAGGTGCAGTGCATTGTCTCGATAGCAGACACCTGTTGCGAATACTGCGCTGTAGTATTATGCTGCTGCTGTAAGTTGCAAGTTGCAGCCATTCATTCGCATGTATCATCTACAAACCTCGCTTCTGGTGTTATGCTGACCAGGGGCTTGAACGAGTCCTGCAGATACACCTCTAGAATTCGAACACAGGAATATGTCAGAGGCAGGTGTATTGCTCCAAATGCTCCGCTAAAATAAAGTGAAGCATTTGTAAAATCACAAACATTACAGTGATGGAGGTGGGGGGCATAACATCGGCACTAAAAGCACTTTAAAATGTCATCGGGGGGGGGGGGGGGGGTGCGGGGGGGGGTGTGGAACTTAAAGGTCAGGAATTTCTCGTGCTGTATTTTCACTGCGGGTTTACCTCTCCATGTTTCTATTTTGTGCTCTTCAAGTTCATATATTTGCACCTATGGAGGGGAGAGGAGGAACGCGAATCAGCCATCAGGAGCAACTGATGCAGTAGCAGCAGCAGTAGCAGCAGCACATTTCCAACACACTTTTTCCCACAGCCCTCAGAGCGAGTGCCACGAGAAGGTGCAAGTCAATCACCCCTATTACCTCAGCCTGCCGTGGGGTTTTATTTCAGTCCTAATACTCTACAACAGTCCCACGTCTTTCCGACAGCCCTGTTCTTCACCTGAGGACGGCTGCTTGCGTTGTGGCCGAAACGTCGTGAGAATTATTTTATTATGTTTTATTATTTTATTATTTCCCTTCTACGTGACTTTACCGAAAGAACCAAGAAGATGAGTCCCACGTCGCTTTGTCCACACCTATGATGCAAAGCTCGGTTGCACTTTAAGATATATAGAAGCAGAACTTCGCCTGTTCTAAATTATTCAAGCCATTCGTTATCATCTTTTATATGTTGAGTGTGACAGTCGTATATACTTATATATACTATATATGTTAACAAAAATGCATGCATGCCGAACGTAAAATATACCAATTAGGAAGGTTAGTTTTACAGTATTGCCAGAATAGACCTGTACACATTAGAATATCAATATCGAAACGACAGTATTTACAATTGTTGTTTATTTAACAAAACGGCGGTTACTCACCATTGGTGACTTGTAGTACCTGTGCAAGATGTTGATGAAGTCTGTGATTGTGAGCATCCCTGCAAGAATTGCATATGGAAGGTGCTGGAAATCACCCACCACAATGTTCTTAGCTACCACATCTACGAAGTATGTATTTACATTTTACAATTCAATTTAAAATAAGTTGATTTAAGTTGGTTAGTTAACTTTTTTTTGCTACATCAGTCTTTGTTAGTTTCATTTTCAGAGATATAAATTCAATTCCCTCAGTATAAACTATAAATAAATATCTTGATTTGAAGCTTTCGTGACGCTTGTGTTGCGCCCGAAACGTCGTGATTTATTTTATACCTACGTAAATAAATAATAATTGATTTAACTGAGCATGTGCTCAGGTGGAAGATATATGAAGGAGGCCCTACATTTTCAGTCATTTCCGAGATTATATCACAATTTTTTCGCACTGAAGTTGATTGATCACCACCGATCCAGGACCTTATGCCGTATGTACAGTATATGGGTATTTCCAAAAATAAAATGCACAAATATTATTCCGTATGTGGCATGTCTGTAAATGAATACATTTTAACACGCCAGCTCAATTACAGCACAGCGAGTGATTTATTAGAGCAGAGACTCTTAGAATTTGATACATACTGGCCAATGTATTGACCTGAAAAAAATATTTAGCCATAGTATTCACTTGCATTCCAAGATGCTGGCTAAATTCCGTGTTTTTCCCCCCTCCTTTGGGACGAGGGTGGGTGCGGCAGAAATTGGAGGACGTTATCGTAGAAGGAGGTGGTTGTGAGCTGTTTACTACGTCAGATACAAACACTCAAGCTGTCAGCTGCTCACGCCACTCAGTGCCCTGCCATTTATACCCGGCCCCCATGTTCTGATTATAGCCCCGCTGGCTCGTTAATACAGCACCTGTCTGCTTTACTTGATCCGCAGATGGATGTGCGCTGTGTCCGTGCTGCGACATGCATGGCACGTTAACCATGCACACACCACACTCAGGCTAACGGAGAACGTGTAGCATTGGGAGTGCTCGCCTTCAAAGAAAATGGTTGAGATGCACAACCCTTCTGCGAAGGGAATGCTAAATAATAATATATTTGTGTACAGGGTATCCCCACTGAATTGCACGGAGCTTATTGTCTGACACACTGGTGGGGCATAGCATGTCCAGGAATGTACTGTATGGTAAAACATGCTAGCTCAGTGGCCTGCTTTTGAGGGATGTTTTCTGTGACTTGTTGTTCCCGCAGTGAAGATTAAGAACTGATGTGCCCCTCGATAATGCCTTCGCATCTCAAGTGATGATGATGTTTTACCAACACATCATCACACTTTTAGATGCCGAGGTGCAGATATGAGCTCAGGTAAAGCACATGTCAACTGGAGTGCCACGCCATTCATTCCAAATATTTCGACCTGCATTCCATCTAGCGCTCATTAACATGTACAGAATCAGGAAAATATTTCAGCAATTTAACTGCAATCAAGTTATATCTATATATTCACAAACACGAAAAATTTATATTTTTTTATTTAGTGCCAATGTACAAAGATGTCTAGACAAAAATGAGCAATGACTCGTATATTATGTCAGCTAAAGTATTTGCCGATTTGTGTATGAATATATACGAATGTAGACTGTAAATAAAATGCAAAATAGAGAAGGCACGAGCAGGCAGGGTGACGAGATAAGCAGCATTGCTACCAAATAAGCGAACTGTGCAGGTGGGTTGGACAGATAGAATGAATTCGTTTTGCCAGGGGAGATATCAATGTTTATTTAGTGTATTGACCTTTTTTAACCTGGCATTGTACGCACTCTCCTCCACAGGCGCAGGCCTGCAATTCCTTTATGACGCCGATGCTGATGGAAAGGCATCAACTGGAGAGATTACTGTCTGGAACAGTTCATTATTAAATAACAATTTAAATTTATATTCTTGGTTCTTTCGGTAAAGTCACGTAGAAGGGAAATAATCAAATAATATAAATAAAACAAAAACATTCTCACGACGTTTCGATTGCAACACTAGCAAGCATCATCAGGTGTGTTGTGGTTTTCACACCTGATGATGATTGCTTGTGTTGCAATCGAAACGTCGTGAGAATTTTATTGTTTTATTTTGTATTACTTTATTATTTCCCTTCTACGTGACTTTACCGAACGAACCAAGAATATGAATCCCTGCAGTCACGAAAGCTTTAAATCGAAAATGTAATTTAAATAAATTGCGTAAAATGATCTCTGCCTCGGGGGGGTCCATAATCCAGTGGGTATCTGGGCCAGTCCCAAGCCTGGATACAAAGGAGTGTCGGGCGGAAGGCTGCATAAAAAAAGCCAAAAGGAATCTAATGCACATGATGACGAAATGTGCAGTGGACACCTACCGGCTATCTGCCCATGGATCGTGATGATGATTATGTAAAGTATATTTTACGTTTTTTAAAACAGAAAGGTTACGTTCTAAGTCAGCCTCACAAAAATAATCAAAAGCGTCCTCGCTTAAGATCAACCTTTAACCTTGCACCCCTGCCCCCGTGTAACCCAACCTCCTCACGCCTCTGGCTCCTCTTTTTTGATTTGTGTTTCATTTACGACCGTTAAATTCCTCGTTTGTTAGTTGTGCAATATTCCATAAGGGCCCTGTACTCGTTCTCAGCAATATTCACGTACTTCTTGGTTCTTTCGGTAAAGTCACGTAGAAGGGAAGTAATAAAATAATAAAACATAATAAAATAATTCTCACGACGTTTTGGCCACAACGCAAGCAGTCTGAATTCAGATGCTGTCGCCTCGACAGACCTGGTTTTCACCTGAGGACGGCTGCTTGCGTTGTGGCCGAAACGTCGTGAGAATTCTTTTATTATGTTTTTTTTATTACTTCCCTTCTACGTGACTTTACCGAAATAACCAAGAAGATGAATCCCTGCAGTTACGAAAGCTTTAAATCGAAAAATTCACGTACTTTTTTGCCTTTTTTGTTGTTGTTGCTGCTGTGCTCACTGCACCACTGATCTCACTTGTAAAATATCCCGGAAAATTGGCTAAACATGAACGTGACAAATCAAATCAACTCACAGTCTCTGCCCTCGTTCAATTCTCAGGCCACACATTGCCTTACCCACAAACGTCTGGAGCTTGCTGTCCCACAGCGGTGCCGCCCTCACGCCACTGTCCACCAGGGCGAAGAAGGCCTTCTTCACCTACATTCCATGCACATTACACGCGACACCAGGCCGCCCACGCTGATTGTCACGGACAGCCCGCAGCGGCGCGCCGGATGATGGCGAGGTTGGCGCGTGCGGTCATGTTGACCCGAGACGCCGTTTGTGAGCCTCTGGTGTTTGCCCAATATCCCGTGCAGCAGAAACCCGTTGCGTGGTTTTTGTTTTTGGCCCCGTGGTTCTGTCGTGGCCACAATCTCTGCTCGTTGGAATATCTATACTGGCTTGTTCAAAAAAAGAAGAAGCAAAATGTGCAGTGTGATTGTCCGGTCTGTGATTGGTGTTGTTTTGCGTGCACAAAAGTGTGATCTTTGTTCTTGTTTTGTCCTGGCATCCCTTCTCTCTGTTCTATCTGCATTGGCAGCAGCCCTCGTCTCAATGCGAGTTAATCTACTAGCTACAATTTGTCTTGTGCCCGCTTTCCTCCATTTCTCAACTTGTGTTGGATTAAATTGGTGGGTAATATTGTTTGACTTGAAAGCCTTGTGCATTGTAAAATGAAACGGATATTGAAAAGTAAGGCAGTCTGAAAATGAGAGTTGCTGTAGGATATATAAGTTTTACCACTTGAAAAAATACATGAATAGCATTATTTGAGCAGTCTGTGCGTATTCTCGAAACATCTTTGTCCTTTTGTTTAAAATGTTATTGGCTTTGAAAAAGTAAGAATTTACTGTTTGTTAAAATCAGTGGGTGAGATGGGCTTAATATGAAGATGTCTCAGACAATCTCATTAATATTTTGAGCAGAACGCAGTTTTGTTATAACTAGAGAAAATTAAATCGTAAAGGAAATTAGAATTGTCAAAAAAACTTAATTTGGAAAAACCACAGGATCCAGCAACACTAGAAATCGATTCGTAAGAGTGGTATTGCAATCTGCGGTATATAAGCTCAGTAATTGAATTAACCGCATGTTTGTGTGTATTTTGTGATCTGTAAATGATTAGTATATGCGCGAATTAAATAAGTAAATCTACTCCCTCTCATGTTGCACAGCAAGCGCTGTTTAAAAGTAATTTCTGTTGCGTTTTTCATTTTATGCGAGCAGTTGATCAGGGGATATTGGATTGTAAAGCTTACAAAAATGCTTTACGTAAGTGTTATACTGTACGCTCGAAACTAGTTATACAGTAACACATACTATACGATTTTGATTTATAGTGTCCAAATGCAACTGTATGTCAACTAGTATAGAAATGTGTTTCAAATATCTGTTATCATAATGGCAAAAAGCATGTTATTGGAGGCTTTACCCGCAGTAAGGATGTGTGTGGCCTCTGCTTTTAAATGCACGGCCCTGCAGCTGCAGTGTTGTTCTCTTTGCAAGTGCACCTCACCCGTTATGCCAAATACATTAATGACCTGCATTATTCCCTTTCATTGCGAATAATTGGAGGCAGAATGTGCCTGGTGTACATTAGCCAACTGGATCCACATCGGCGATGACACGGGGGAGGTTATAAGGGGTTATTTTTCCTTTCATTTCACAGCAAGGCTGTGGCATTTCCTGTGTGTGCCCCCCATCTTACATTTGTATTAATAACATAAATAAATGACGCCTTGCATGGATGTTTTCCTCTCAAAATAAAGGCAGTGCTCCAAGGGGAGAGTTGAATGTGCACTACATTCTGAAGCCTCAATATAGAGAGGGCAGTAGCTGAGAGATGACAATAGCTCAATTGTGGAGTTCAATGTGCGGACTTCTATCCATTAAACACCCACGTCTGCCTGCCGTATTGGCAATGGGACTAAGACTCCGTGGCACATATCATCGCCATTGTTATAGCCGAGGTTATATCAGCCCAAGCCACATCACAGATGATGCTTATTTCCAATTCTGGTTTGGAGGCAGTGTTCTTAGTTATCAAAAGCTGAGAGGAAATATTCTGGAAATAAATTGTAAGAAAGTCCCCCAATATAGAGTATCCCATACATGTCTGCATCCTATTCGTGTTTCTCTAGGTGAGTGGCACATATGGAAATGATTCGGGGGGCTTAATAAGAGTCCCCTAGGTGATCTATTCACTGTCAACGGCAATGTAGAACATCCCACCACTTCCAGAATATAATTGAGACCGATTAACCCACATTATAGTTAATCTGCGCTATGTTTTCTTATCTAAATATAAATAATTTGAAACAAATTTCAACACGGTATGCATTTACATTATATAACTTACGTTTTCTGGTTGTGATCTATCTACACGTCATGTCCGATATTAGTGATTCAATTATTATTATTTGCAGTGTCGTTTAATGTCATGATTATATGATTTAGTTTTAATGTGTGCAACTTGGGTCAGAAAACAAATAAATAAGAATATCAGTCACTTATTTCCTCGTGTGAACTCACCAACCAAGAACATCTTCCTTAAAATGTAATTGTCAATACGAAACAGTTAAAAAATTAATAATTCCTATGAAACTCTACTTTGTAAATGATAGTAAACAAAAAAATCCCTCTTCTTGGTTCTTTCGGTAAAGTCACGTAGAATGGAAATAATAAAATAAAATAAAAATAATTCTCACGACGTTTCGGCCACAACGCAAGCAACCGTCCTCAGGTGAAGAACAGGTCAGACAGAGTCATTGAGACTCTGTCTTCTCGACAGACCTGTTCTTCTTGCTTGCGTTGTGGCCGAAACGTCGTGAGAATTATTTAATTATGTTTTATTTGTATTATTTTATTATTTCCATTCTACGTGACTTTACCGAAAGAACCAAAAAGATGAATCCCTGCAGTCACGAAAGCTCTAAATCGAAAAAAAAAATTCCCATTATTATTGAGTGCAAACAGGTGCAATAGTAATGCGCACGAGGAGGAGATGAACCACGAGCTTGTCAGCAACACAACAGCTGCACTTCCCCACCTGACTATACTGCCTTAGCAACGTACACCTCACGTGTGCCTTCTATTGTGCCCTATTATGTTATCCACACAATGTGAGACACGCCAGCAAACAACCCCTTGGGCAGGTCTGCTGAGACACACAGCCGGATGGGGCCCGTTTGCAGGTGAAAGCGTTGAGAGGCGTTCTTGTTGACTTGCCTGCAGGGAGATGTCAAACACCACGAGCTTGGAGCTGGTGGGGATGACCTCATAGCAGCATTGAGCCTTCATCAAACGGCTGTAGACGCTCTCCTCTCCCTCCTCCGCTGAACCAAAAACATAGCCACCCCCGGCAGCTGTGTGTACCGATTTACAATGCACACTGGTGGTGCTCTTTATTTAAATACGTGCATTGTTTATTAAAGGACAACTTTCCTGTAAAGCAGCACCACGTGCAACGGTTGACATTGTAACAATAATGCAGTATGTGACTTTGGTGACATTACACATTAGGGACATTGGTATTTTGCTTTAGAGCCAAATTCAAGTTGTCAATTGTATCACTTTAATTTCCCATTACACGCAAAAAAAGCAAATCCGTAAATAATTTAGAGGCACACACAAACACACTTGAAGTACATGCCAATAATTATGCGTTACGTAACTCATTGAGAAGTGGCAATACTTTTACACGCTCGTACAGTTCGTCAATACGCTTACGACTAGCTCTCTCTCTCCCAGACTTACCTTGGTCTTCATACCAATGTAGTGTCTCCAGCATGCCCTATGTAACTACACACACACACACGTTAAAAGCAACAACTTTAAAGGTTCGACGGGGTGAAAGTCACCCTGCCGTGCTCCGTTCCTTGCCCAGGCCACCACGACGAAGGCTCGTACCGCACCGGCTCTGCCTGCCGAGTTCTGCGTGGTGTGTGCCTCTTCCCTTGCCGGTGCACCCGGCACGAGCTATATTTAGCAGGGCCCAAGTTCAGCACAGTCTGTCTCAGAGCAGAAGCCTTTTTCTGTCAGCGCAGGGGTTTGCAGGCAGCCATGGGGATCTTGGTATCTGGGGGACTTATAAGGGACTCCCCAGGGTAGGTCCATGAGCGGCTTGTCCAGAGTCTGCCGCTGTAGTTTCTCCCTCGTGCCATTTCTCTTCAGAGCCCAAAGTCATTTTGACGGGAAGCACTCCTGACTCTAACCAGGGCCGTGCCAGCTGATTACTTTTGCGGAATGAATTATAATTAATTCTCCAAAAGTCATATTATCTGTCGTGGATCTGCGCTGGAGGGCTTCCTTCACAGATTTGCGTTGGGCAAATTGGTTTGGCTCCAGAGATGCCAGCAAATGCCCGGGTGTCACACGATTTAAAACGTTACACTGTCAATGCTACAATGTTTACTTCAGAGTGTGAGACAATGCATAAGAGTCACTGCTGACTAAGAGGAAACACAAACAGACGTATCTATATTGCCGTATTGATATATTTTTTGTTGCAAATTGATAGAGCTGAATTTAAGATGTAAACGGGCCACAGTGTTCTGAGATTTACAGCCGTGATTCGTATTACAAATGTATCTTGTTACCAAACAAGAACATGCAAAGGCAGCAGAAGCCAAATTCCGAACTCTACTATGCTTGGGGTCGGCACAAACCCATATCCGTCCCGACCCCCATGCAGCGATTCTGTAAATAACGTTTATCTCAGCTGTTGCACGGTGCCGGCTGGCAGTTTCCCCGTATCTGACAGGCTGTGGTTTGTAGCTTCACCTCCTAATATGAAACAGGGCAGTCTCATGATCATTCTCAAACAATGCTGTGAACAGAAATCACTACCTCCGCATGCCCCCTGCTACATAATCTAATGATGCATTGTCACACATATGAGGGCAGCTTTGCAATTAAACTGCCATGAAATTGTGCGCTATATAATTTAGTAGAAACAACCCATTTAATCATGCCCAAACCTAGTCACCCATGTGAAACTTTGCTATGTTGTACATTGCTACCGTCTATTGAGTCAAGATTTATGAAAATGATAAATGTACTTACTAAACCTTAAATACAACACATAGCCTAACATATAGCCTTGGTTTAAATAACTACATTTCTGCAATATGATTAAAAGGGAAAAAAAACATCACGTTGATGATGACGTTTGCATTGTAAATACATTCTCATTTTGAAGAGAACATTCAACATCAGGCAATGTTCAGGTATGATGCTTTTACTCCAAAATCCTAATAATATGACAGTACAAAGGAAAAGTTAGTATATTCCACATATTACAAAGTAAACAATCATAGAGAATGAAGCATCATCCGGTATTGTAAACATTCAACTCTTCCAATATGTTCCACAATGCACTTATTGTGCCAGTTATTGCGTGTACAATCCAACCTGAAATCTGATTCCTAATTTACCTGCTTGCGCAACATAAATCGTGATGGACATCGCAAATGTACATCCAATTGCATTACTTTTATTCGATAAGAATTGCAAATCAACATGGATGATGTAAAATGCATGCCATCCTTTGAAACGGCAGTGAAAATAATGGATATGGAAATGGGAATATAGTCCACTTTGGCAGATGAATCCAACAAGCCATTTGGGACAAATTAAAATCCACGTTGAGGTTTATCATTTGCTAAGCACATAAACTGTGTGCCCATTGCATTTAAACAAATATATATATATATATTTCTGGCCTGATTGCCAAAAGGAAACATGCGGATCATTGATATCCCCAGCACGGGCTTCACAACCAAAGTGCAATGTCAGCGTGCCCAACGAGTGCAGATGTGTGCAGCGCAATACAAGGGCACAGACGTGGCAGCGAGACCAGGTGAGGTCAACGCCCTGTTCGGTGGCGAAAATAGCCTTGTTCCATTGAGCATGGCCAAAGCCTCAAGCCACAAGGCCCGATCGCGTTTTGCAAACACCGTCGCACTATCAATTTGATTGTGAACGCGCTTACAGTAGTACGGCCTCGCCTTTCGTAAAGTTACGGTTAATCTATGGATCGTTTTGTGGGGCATCATTAACATTCGTAAAAAAAAAAACCCTATGTTAATTGTGTTGTACGTACATCGATTAGAACTTCGTGATTTATATAAGTGCAGGGTTTTTTTGTTGTTGGTATTTTTTAAGAGTGCGTGCTACAGTCTGTCTTACTCTACTGTGGAAGGGACGGTGGAGTGGCTAGTGCAATGGGCTAAAATGAAAGTGACACACGTAATTTTGGGCCATGCACACCAGTCGGTTTTTTTACTTTTCCTGAATCAAAATATCGGCGGGGTATCGCGTTGGCTACCACACTACAGACCGATGTGTTGTACCAGCCGTAATAGGTGCTCGCTAATGGCACTTGTCCGAACAGTCAATAAAGCTAAAAGAGGGATCGTTGTCTTTTGTGCTTGAGTGCCAAACCACTTTGTGAGTCTAACCCCACAGAGGCCAAGTCCGATAAAAGGCAGGAATGTAAAAACGTTGGCTTAATGCCATATTCTCTTGCACACATTAAAGATACAAAGGCATTCTTTGCTTAAAAGAGAATTGCACAGTGTTGTCGGTCTCGTCGCCATATTAGCAACCTGCCGTTACATAAATTGCCTGCGATCAAAGCAGGTGAACACTGTAAATGTTTATGCAGTGCAGTCCGGCTACTCCCTATAAAGATAGACCGCCGATCAAGTGCTGCCACCCCCATCCGTCTCTTCTGCCATGTTACGTAACAGCGCCAAGCAGGCGTGTGGAGCTCTGCAATGACACAACATGCTTTTATGTTCAGTGCCGATTAAAGGAGTGTGACATTGCATCGCTCGCCTGCATTAATTTATATATTCAGGATGCCTACTGTGTGCCGCTTGCAATGGGAAGGGTGTGAGTTCAAATTCTGGTCTGGGGTCGACTCAGCTGGTTCATCGCGCCACAGACAATTAAATCAGTAGCACGGTTTTGGGAAATTAACATTGGGTTGGCTCGCGAGCTTGTGGCTTTACACGAGAGATGAGTGCCACGACTTGATCAATTTGAACGAGGAACCACTTTGGCTTTGACTTTAACAAATGAGTCCCTGATAAAAAAAAAACAGTCCCATATGTAATATTTTCAATGATGTTTTGGGAATGTTTTTGTAACTTTGTGCTCTGTGCTCATTCAACAGTGTGTTGTACCACAGGGTATGATACTGAATTAAAGGATTTAAATATACCGGCAGATATAATATAAATTCAGCACAGGCCAGGCCTTGCATTCCTGTGATGCTAATCTCACGTTGATTTAAATGGCGTTGACTCCATGTCGTAATTATTTCAGATGGAAAAAAAGTTCAGAAAGTTCATGTAAATTATTCATTTTGTTATCGTCAACCTGTTTCTATCCATTGCTGGATGAACATCATTCCTGAAAATTCTGTAATTCCACAATCCAACTTGCTTCTTCATATGAACTAATCTCATCATTCCATCTCCACTTTGGCTCCCATTTCATCAGCAGTCTCATCCATCAGCCATCATCGCTTCAGGTCATGATGCGTCCTGACCAAGCCCAATTATTTTTTATTCACAGTCAATATGATATATTTCGCTTGCATGTGTTCCCTGATCTACACGCTCCTCTCTCTGCATTTTAGTGTCGTGTTTTACATTTTTAACGAGGACCTTGGCATTGTCCTTCTAATTCCCATTATTCATCACCAGACACGATCTATCCACTGCTGGATGAAGGTCTCCCCAAACCATCACGATATTTCATGGCCTTGCGATGCTACAATCCATATAGCTCGTGCACACGAGCGGATTTCATTGCTCCATTTCAGTGGTGGAAGTTATCTTGGGTGTGTCCACTCCTTTGATTGCCACCGGCCATCATACATGTCATCCCCAAGAACCACTTCCTCATCTAAGCAATCGACAATGAAAGAGGCATGGATATATGATCCTTACGGTGGTACCCTGGGGTACCAAATAATACAAAATAGCCGAGGCAATTAAATATTTTATTTCTGGGACACCATTTTTCCCAGTGGTGTATTTAACTCCGAGACTGGGGTACCAATCAATCCGAAATCGGTGGTGCTACTCCGCGATGTCGAAACGCAGCGAGGACGATTGCGCCGAAACCCTGAAGGCTCGCGGTACGCACCGTGGTGGTGGTGCATCGCGTACATCTCGTCGAGATGAGTCGATTGCCGCATCGCCGACCATCAACAGACTAAAAGTGACTGCATCACGGACATTATGCGAGAGCCGGGGTACTATGGGACCCTGGGGTACCGCCATAAGGTTCATCATATGTAATCGGAGACGTTTTTGTAAATGGGGTTTTTTCATAGCACATACGCCATAATCGGGGGATCATTCCATCTTTGTTGTATGCCGTTTCTGAGTTAACACTTGTGAAGGTCCACTATAGTAGTTTAATTAAATTAGCACGCTTATTTTAATATGCGCACACCATATTATTTGGGCCAGGATCTTTCTCTTTTAAAATAATATGAAGGGCAGTGGTGACTTCTTAATTTCTTCTTCAATCTGTAGCAATGGTTTTGATTTCTTCACCTGAAAAAAAGGTTTGATTCCAACAATCTCTACTTTTGTTTCCATAGAAATTTAGATCCAATTCATCCACTGCTTTTTAGATTATGTTCTATGATGTGTTATGGGTCCGTCTTCCTCTCTTAGAAGCTACCCTTTGCGACTTGCCAATTACCAGCCTCATTTTTGCTGAATTCATGCTCTCATTGTTATGGAATCTTCAATTATTTGAGTTGTCCTGATGCATTGTACTATTTTTTCCACAATTGAGTTCTGTGTATTCATTCTATCATTTGTTTCGCTTCTCCATCTCGGTTTATATTGATCCTCTTTCTCAACATGTCTGTCGTGGTCTCAGATTTATTTTCTGTTCACTTTTTACTCTTTCCCCCCACTGTCAATGCACTATCCATGAC